TAGTAGTTAAAACAACAATTCGATCCCTAGATAACATATAGTTCATTGAAGTAAGGATAGATAATCCGTGCGGCTTGATATTTCGAAATACTTGCTCACCCGGTTGAAAGTTACACTTTGCCTTTGATAGAGATAGGTATAGTTAGATAGGCACGAGTCAATATAAAGTAGAAATAAATTTTTATTAAAATTGCTAAAAAAAAGTTTGAAATTAGTGTACGTTATAACGAGTAAAGAGTAAGTAACACAATGCCCTGAGCCAAATAATTCGCAACCCGTCCGACTTGTAACCCATTAAACTCACAACTCGATGAATTCGCGCATCGACTAAACCGTAGCCTGACTGACCCGCAACCTAGCTGACCTGAACCTTACTGACCCACAATCCAATAAACCTGAAACCTAACTAACCCGTAATAAGATTAAACCCAACTCAAACACTCCCTATTGACTGCTCTAGTTTTAGCGACTAAAACAATGAAACAGTAATTAATTTGACGCCAGCATCCATTCCTCAACTGCTCCATATAAATCTTTGAATTTCCAAACCAAATGCTAAAAGAAGAAGGTTTTGATTGAAAAAAAAAGGAAATTAGTTGACGGCCAAATGGTATTAATCTATATAGCAAAGCAATAAAATGGGACAAATGACACATGCAAGAGAATAAAACTACATACTTAGAACTAGATTGTACCCCGGCCCGTTGACCGGTTGCAATATGATAACATTAACTAACAAAGTTTTAAAGTTTAAATTTCAATAATCTCCACTTCTCTTATATTCGTGTCAGGATTATATGTTAATGTCATGCGAATTAACAAATAATTATATCAATTTTATCAAATCGCAAGCTAGTTTCTTAGTTTTTATCTTTAAGAAAATCAAATTATTAATTTCTTCGAGAAGAGAAAATGTGCACCCATCATAAGAATCACCAACATTGTAATCAGAGCCATCTATGTTAATTCTGGTTGAAATTAAGCATGTAGGTGTTTCAAAATAATCGATATCACCTCTTAACCATCAACAATCTTCTTTTTTTTTTTTTGATGGAAACCTGCAACCATCAACAATCTTCATCATCAACTCCACTATATTCATCATTGATAGGTGTTTCACAACAAAAGAATTTGTCTCATTATAGTTTCAACTTTTGTTTGAGATTCATTTTTTTTTCATCAAGAATTATTTTCAAAATTGTTAATTTGCTTATGGAATTGTTAATTTGTGATTCAACTTTACGATTCATTCTTCCACTATTTTTTTGATAGATTTTCAACTGTAATTCTCATAAATCCTGAATTCTTGATGATCCAAGACAACAAACTCATATTTGGTAGTATTCACAACTCGAGTTGGATCATAAATGTGAAAAATGTTAGTAGTTGATTGGGTAGTTTGATCTAAATATGAAAAAATGCTAATAATTGAGATTCATTATTTAGAAGAGCAATATAAGCTTTAGTGAGGATGATTCCTGAATCGACTATAGGAGCTTGATCTCATTTGTTATAATAAAAATTAAATAATTTAAGATGCATAGTATTAATAGCCTTCTATAAAAAAATAGCCTTAGTAAGAATTTATTGAAATTAGCAACAATTCTGCTTCATTGATTTATTTTCACAATCCATCTCTTTATTCGAATTTAAACTTAGAACTTTAATAAAACCAAGTGATTTAAATCGGTAATTTTTTGTTGTCTGATAACTAAGTGTAAAAATAGCCTTAGTAAGAATTTATTGAAATTAGCAACAATTCTGCTTCATTGATTTATTTTCACAATCCATCTCTTTATTCGAATTAAAACTTAGAACTTTAATAAAACCAAGTGATTTAAATCAGTAATTTTTTGTTGTCTGATAACTAAGTGTAAAAATATTTATTCCCTTATTACAATCTGAAAACCCTAGAGGCTCAAACTTGCTAATAAATGTTTTCGAAATTCGCAGGCAATTATCATTTTTTTGTCGAACAATTTTCATTATTAGAGAAAAAAGCAATGATATTAGAAATTAAATTTTAGACCAAATTCTTTTACACTCGAGCTAAACATATAAGTTTATCACCGAATGAAAAATGATCATATTCTTGAATTGTTAAATCGAAAACCATATGGAACTTCATTTTTTATACGATATAATTACATGAATATTGGTTAATGCAAAAATATTTAGTGAACTATATTTGATCTCCATATAATACATGTATAAGTGTTAAATGCATTTGAAGCTCTTGATAAAATGTTTTTATTTTTCTGTTTATTTATTCTATATGTATAACACGTATAACAATGGTCAAAGAAATCATAAGTTTATGTCCAAATAAACTAATGATGTATTAATTTATGTTGATTTGCAATTATAAGTTATAATTTCAATAACCAAATCTGAACCCTTCATTTAGAAAATCCAGATCTAAGGATGGAGAATTAAAGATCATTTTTATTTTCACTAACTTTCTTAATTGATTCATATCTTTTTCGTTTTAACTCGGATTTTAATTTTTTTTGCACAGATGGAACGAGTTCATCGTGCTCTACAAAATGAGATCAATTTTCAATATTTTTTGAGGGAAAAAAAATTCTGGCCTCTCGGTACCAACTGCATACCATATGATATCTTCTTCGTTTTTAATTCGTTTTTGAAAACGTTTGCACAGCAGGGACGAGTTCATCATGATCTATTGGATCTACAAATTTCTGGGTGAAAAAATTACAAGACAAAAAAATACCACACAATACCATACAGTACCACCCTGGTACGGGGTGGTATCTTATGGTATACAATGTTAAAAGTCGTAAATGACAATTAGTATACTTCTATTATCATGTATTCAACCATCCTACAGTTTCGGTTCTGTGTCATACCACCATGGTACGCTTTTCAAACCATAGGTATGCTCTTATTTCAATACCAGTCAATACCATATGGTATAGACTGGTATAAAATGTCTCAATTTTTTTTGTTCGAAAAATATATCAAAGTGGATGTCATTTTGAAGAGCACAATTAATCTGATCTAACTATGCAAAAAAAAATTAATTTTCGACTTAAAACGAGTGAGAAATCGTCCGTCAAAGATTAAGGATGAGAAAATTAAAGGCTTTCTAGGAGAGAGAGGATGATGATGTCATGCTGATGTGAGTGGGTTACTCATAGTTACTCACCATAAGGTTACTGACCTGATCCGTTCCCAATTTGGTGGGCTGTGGAAAAGGAAACGGAAAGCCCAATTGATATGTCCATATGTGTGAGTTACCCATAGTAGCATGCACGGAAATTTGAGATGCCAAAAGACTGATAAGGGCTTCCTTGCTTTGCGGGGAGGTCAGGAAAATTTTAATTGGGTAGATGATGAGCAAGAATCTCCATATATGTATGGTAGGAGGTAGGATTTGGATACCACAGGCCTTGTTATATTTAGTGCAGCGGAGCCGTTTCATCAGCATGGAAGGGCCGGCTAGGTGGAAGTTTTTTTTATCAATGTTCTTTGTATTGGTTTTAATCCCGTCATATCTAATGCTCCTGCTTGAAAATTCGAAAGACCGGTCAAAATACATACTCAACTTCCATTTGATTTGTATCTTTGTTTATTATGCGTGATGTAACTCATCAATCAACTTTTGTATGTTTTTGTGAACTAGTTGTGAAAAAGCGGGGAAAAAACAATCATTTACCGAATAATGCAAAGTAAATATAAATTCTTTAGATCATCACTAAAATTAGAGTCGTTACCCTGTTCTTCATATTAATACCGATGCAACTTCACCAAATTCTCCACAAACAAAGAAGTTTAATTGGCTAATACGAGGATTCCTGAGCCGCCCCCGAATGGCTCGCCGACCGCAAGGTTCACGAGCCGTGGCTCTGGAAGTATGTCGACTTCGAGAAAGTATTCCTTGTCGGTAATTAATGCGCGCAACGTTGAGAATGTGTTTTGTATATAGTTTTTTGCCGACCTGCAAAATCATATATAACTCTCCGATCGTATTAATAATACATGATACAATACGATGATACGTGATATCATCATCGTATCACAACGTTGTGTACAATGATACGACCGAGCGTATTAATAATACATAATATAATTTATGCTTGCAGGCGACAACGCCGGCGCAAACATAATCCACCACTTGGTACTGCGACGGCGCCGGAGCTCATTGGCGGTGGAAATTCGGGGACTGGTTCTAATCCACCCGTACTTATGGGGAAAAGATATGATCGGGTCGGAGAAGGCAGACAGTGCAAGATAGGCCATGGTGGAGAATTGGTGGACGTTCGTGTGGGCGGAGCCCCGACGAGTGTGGAGGAGCTGGGATGCCGGCGGGTGGCGATTTTCGTGGCGGAGTGCGACATTCTGTGCGGCATAGAGAAGGCTTACTATCGTAGTTTAGTGAAAAGTAAAGGGCAGATTCGTAAATTGAAGGCTGAGCTCAGGGAAACGAAAGGAGAAGATCATATTTTCCATCTTTATAATACGGATTGTGAAGCTGCGGCGGAATTGTTCAAAGTTGGGCTTTCTTCATCAACCGCGAATAATGGAATTGTGGTGTTTTGGGCTTGGCCCATTTTTAATGGAATTGTTGGTATTCTCTTTCGACAGAATTTGAATTTAATGACTAATTTAGCTCCTCTTTCTAGCTAAAAAGCTCGTAACAGTTATCTTATACTTAAATCTCAATCAACAATTTATGGTAAATTGCATGTTTGGTCACTAGAATTACTTAAAAGGTTCATGTTTTTCATTAAAATTAATTTATTCCATTCGTAGTCACTTTATTTAGTTCAATAGTTCAAATTTGGTTCCTCTCCATTAAATTTTTCTTATGTGGTATTCAACTCTCATAGTTGACCGTTAAATGTTGACGTGATCATTAAAAAAAAATAATTTTAATCATTTAAATTTTCCACCTCATTTTTACATTTCATTAAAAAATAAATGTAAAACTTAACTTTTTTAACCTTAGAAGTTAGAATAGAAATCGGTGCGTGAGCAAGAAATCCCCAAACCTCCCCTTCCTACCGTCGCCGGTCACGCCACCAATCCATCACCGACGCCTAAGGCTCCATCCCTCCCAACGTCGCCCAGCCGCAGTAAACGACTGTACGATCTGCGGGACCCTCGCCGGGCAGCTCTTCTTCTGCTGGCACATGGACAAGATTAATAGGTATTACGGATGAAATCTCAGCGCCCCTTCTTCAATAACGGTTCTTATCTCTTATTGTATCTAGATGGCACAAACATGAGTGATGTACAGAGCCGCCACCACCTCCTCTGAGGCTTAGGACAAGAGGACGAAGGTTGATTAAAAATCACATGGATGGGGAGCAATCGTCGAGAACGACCATCTAGACGGCGGCGGCGACGAATGTCTGGACGGTGATTTAGTTGCAACGGTGGCGAGGTCTTAAAAAAAATTAGTTTTATTTTTTTAATTTTTAAATGGGTTGGGATAATGAGGTGGAAAATTTATATGATTAAATTTTTTAATGGCCTCGTCACACATTTAACGTTCAACTGTAAGAGTTGACTGTCACATGAGAAAAATTTAACGGAGAGTGACCAAACCTGAACTATATATTAAACTAATTCAAGTGACTACGAATGAAATAAATTAATTTTAATGACAAACGTGGACATTTTAACTAATTCTAGTGACCAAACTTGCAATCTACCCCACCAATTTAAAATCCTAATATAATTTGGACCAACTGTCTTGTAGCGAATAAGTAAGTGAGGTTTCTGTAAAATCTATAACAATGTGAGATGTTTGGTATCCAGATTGTTATTATCTTTATCGAGCGAACAAGGACTTCATCTGGTGATTATACCATTAGTATTGAATATGTACCTAGATTGCAAGTTCGAATTTTTGAAGTAACATTTAACCTTAAAAAATAATCATATATATGATCATCTTTATATAAAAAAAGCAGAGTATTTGTCCAAGTTATGTTGGCAAAGTGCATTTTCTGTGATTAAGTGGAAGTGTGACGTGGTGCAATGCAGTCAATTGATCCTCACGCAGAGATAAATCTTAATATATATAATTTTAAGTTTTTGTATTGAGACATAATAAATTTATTAATGGTGATTTACAAGTTATTGATTTGGAGAAAATGGTCGACCGCTTTAAAAAGAGGTCACCTCTTCAGAAAATGGTCAACTACTTCTTGCAAATGGTCGACTAATAATTTTTAATGAAATTGTTTATTTAGTTCGTCATGCATGGCCAGGTTCCAGTACTCATTATTGACTGGCTATTTCTTTGATCCAGGGTTCTATTTGTGAGAGCAAGGCACAGTGAACAGAATAAAGGGCAATCATGTTTTTTGCTTTAGATTTGGTCATGGTCCGCTAAAACTAACACTTCTAACATAGGCAAAATGTGACCAATGAAAGTTGTAGTTTAGTAACAACAAATAATAAGTATCATATTCACGAGAATCTAGATTTATTATTAATAATTAAGCTTTGAATTATTATTTAGCATATAAGATTTAGGTTAAACAACTAAAACACCCTAACAAACTACGAAAAGACTAACCTAACTAATTAAATTCTAGGAGGCTCACTCAGGTAATGATTCTCCTTAGCTACTAGTTTGATTAATGATGGATGATTCTCAAACTTATTTCACTATTCATTCATAGTGCGGAGAGTCCTCAACAAGCCTTGAATCTCGATTAAAACAATCAATGCCCTCTTGATTCAGTTGCTTAGAGGGATATCATCCTCAACTAAGACAACCAATCAAGGAAATCCACATTAAAACCCTCTATTGGTTGAATTCATACGTAATCAATGCAGTGAAAAGCGTGATTCTACCTAGAAGCGGAAAAGAGGTAAAATCGTAAATCGTAGAATCAAAGCGTAAAAGCATAAGTTTTTTACGCATACTGAAAAATAATTAAAAATCTATTAAGTAGGACACATACTATGAAAATATGAATGCACATAATTTAGATAAGTTAATAAAGACATGCAATTCATGTCTAAAGTAGAGCAACTTATAGCATCTTAATAATAAGTTCGTAAACATAAAATTTAACAATAAGCCACTTTTTCCTCTATGCTAATGAATTCGGGAAGAGCCTAGCTGGTGAATTAGATTACTCTATTGAAATTGAGAATGCATCCAAGTACTTGTTATATATCTTTTCATCTCAAATGCATCATATTGTTGGTTATTTACTTTTAAATATTACTTTTTATGATTAATTTCATGAAAGAATACCCATTTAGTGAACTAAAATCGTAAAAACGTAAAGCGTTTTGGTGAACTAGAAGCGTAAAAGCGTAACCTTTTAAGCTTTAAAGCGCAATTTAGTCCGATTTTATACACTTAAGTTTTTATATGGATACGAAAGCGTTTTGGTGACCTAAAAGCGTAAAATCGTAAGTTTTTAAGTTTTAAAACGCGATTTTGACTGCATTGTACGTAATACAAAGCAATTTATCGACTCTCTCACAAAATTGATTCCCTAGTCCCAATCGATGAGGCCTTATCAATCTAATGAAATATTTCTTTCCTAGGTCAAAGAAGAAATCAATAATCTCGATTAAAACAAAATTTATATGTAAAACATGCATATATTGGATATGAACTAAAGTTTAACAAGTCAGAGTAATCATACAAGCAATTTTCAAATAAAAAAAAATATTGCTAGGATTCCTCAAACCCAATTGAAAGAAAGTTAGTCCATGGAGAGGAAAAAGAATATAAAAATATGCTCTTGATCTTCAATTCTTCACTTTCAAACTTATTCCACGAGTTTGAATAGTAAATAAATCCTCCAATTTCGCTCCAAGATCGACCTTGAATTGCTCTCCCCCTCTAGAGTTCTTCCCCTAGGTGTTTGGTATCGAAAAATCCAACTCTCCCCTTCAGAATTCACAAAAGGCCCATTTAAACTTGCAGCAGAGGCAAAATCACAACCAGAAGTCAGTCATGCTAAATTATTACTGTGACCGGTTGCTTATTCGATTGGACTCCTTAATTAATTGCAAATCTTGGCTTCTTTATCTCTTTTTAATTGTTATATATATAATACTTGAGAAGAAGATATATTGTTTCGTGATTTCCTAACCAAACCATGCCCCCATCCCATTGATTAGTACTCCACATCTCCAGTCTGCCTACGTCATGCATGAACTTATTTAGACCTTAATCAATTTGTTGTTGGACCCAGACTTTACTCAATTAATCCTTTCTTTCGCCGTAGGTAGTGGGTTAATAATTGAAATATATTTCTCCCGGAGCTGACCAAACAATAACCACAACACATATTATCTTTGCTACAAAATATACGAACTCGTGAATCAGACCAGTATATATCAATGGCAGTTACCAAGAGAGAGTGAGCTATCTACTCGCTTGCTACCTTAGTTAATTAGCTTCTCAATTCTCAACCCCTCCCTCAAAAATGTCTTCCTCCAGTACGAACGGACGGAAACTGGCCAAGGAAATCCCCGGCCACATCCGTATCTACGACGACGGCGTGGAGCGCCTTCGTGACACCGACGTCGTCCCTCCCTCCATCGACGCCGGCCCGGCGGAGTCGCCACTAAGGACGTCGTGTACCGTGGCACTTTCACCACTTGTCGTATAACCATAAAATCAGTACAAATTAAGGATAGCTTGTAATTAGATTAATTGTTAGGTTTTGAAAATAATTAAAGATAGAGAATATGGTTTTGCTATTACGTTGTAGCCTAATGAAAATTATATTTATTAATAATAGTAGTGAGTATCCTTTGGTGAGTATCCTTTGCATAAGCGAGGCACCCAAAAGAGCGCATGTGCGAATAAGACGGCCGCTTGTCAAGGAGAACCTCGAACGGTGTCTTTCCAACGAAAACAGAAGAAGGTAATCGATTGATCAGGTAGGTGGCGGTGAGCACACAATCTCCCCAAAACCTCACCGGTAACCCTGCGTGGAACATGAGTGCCCGGGCGGTTTCTAAGAGATGTCGGTGCTTACGTTCCGCAACTCCATTCTGCTGCGGTGTATCCGTGCACGAAGTCTGAAGCACCATACCATTCTCTTCATAGTATGCCCGAAGAGACAAGGTCTGAAATTCGGGACCGTTATCAGTTTGAATCCTGCGCACAGAGTGGCCAAATTGAGTTCGAGCTAACTCACAATGTAGTTTGATATATCGCTCCACATCATACTTATACTTCATTAAATAAACCTAAGTAGAACGATTATAATCGTCAACAATAGTAAGAAAATAGCGGGAACCATCCAAAGCCGGCGTACTATATGCGCCCCAAATATCCATGTGAAGCAATTCAAAACTGCCACCAGTTTTTATCGTGCTCAAAGTAAACGGAAGCCTAGTCTGTTTAGCCCGCAAACACGAATCACAGGGCAAAGTATAGAAACAGTACAATCCAAATAATCTCGTAAACCAGCCAACTTATCCAAGGAAGGATGACCGAGGCGAGTGTGCCACAAGGCCGAGGACTCCTCAAGTCGTGTTGCCTTGTTCTCTTGACGTTGCACAATCATACCAAGCCGAGGAAGGTAATAGAGTCCATCCCTAAGCCGTCCCACTCCAGTCAGCATCTTGGAAGGTAAGACCTGAAGTGTGAAAAAATCATGCAAAAACGTTACCGCCACATTGTGATCCTGTGCTAACCGACTAACTGACAACAGGTTGCACTTGAAAGTAGGGACGTGTAAGACCCTGTCTAGCCGAATAGATTCACTAAATTCAACCGAACCCATGGCCATGACGGGAATACCAGAACCGTCCGATATACGAACTTGAGACTGCCCCTGTACTGAATAAACTGTATCCAACCAACTAATATCACGAACTCTATGTTCGTTACAACCTGAATCTATCAACCACATGTCAAGATCAGAATGGTTACCAGCCATATGTGTCGTGGGTGCGGATGATGACTCTGTAGAACAGAAGTCAAGAACTCCTTAAGCTGTGCGAACTGAGCCGCCGTGAGACCATGAATAGGAGAGCGCTCGTCTGGTTTGACGTGCGCGACCTTGGGACGTCGTGGGGCAGCACGAGGATCATCATTTGGCTTTGCTCGAGGGTGTCCTGGAGGGTACCCATTTAACTTGTAGCAAGTGTCTCTAGTATGCCCTTGCAGATTACAATGACTACACTTAGGTTGTCATTGTCCACTCTAGGATCTCGATCGGCAAGGATTTGGAAGGCAGTTGTGTCCACAGGGGGTCGACGGGTGCTGGCTATGTTATGGTGCTGCTCCTCGGCGGCCACCATCTGATACGCATCGGCTAAGTAGGGAGTCGGTCTCGTGCCGAGAATTTGCGAGCGAATGACAGAATACACGTCATCAATCCCCATGAGGAGCTCAAATAATCATTATGTATCCTGCTTTGGCTGATACTCGCGGATCCAATCACACGA